CACCTTTATATTGTTGAGCAATTGATGGTACAAGCATCGGTTGAAAAATATGAAATAAATAACGCCGAGCACGTCCAGGAGATGCACCCCAAAGTCCACCTACTATAGGTAATCTATGATACTTATGGTCACGTGCAATATAAAAGAAATTCTTTCTCTGTTTATCAGATAACCACATATCAATAGTTTCAGTTTCACGTTTCATAATAGGTGAATCAAGGTCACGTGAAAGAAAATAATCAACAAATGGATCAAATATTGGTAAAAAACGCCACATCTTTCCTGGTAAATATGAAACTAATGATGAACCAAACATAGGTATATTGTGTATATCACATATATCAATATTTGAAAAATTATAAAGAAAATTTTGTTGAGATTTAGTACTACCAGTAAAATCAACATAGAGACGAATAATCCATGATGGAAGAAGTAATTTAACTTCATTAGCAAGTGGTATTAGAAATGGAAATATAGATGTTTCCCATGCAAACATTGCATTATCAGTATAATTTGATGTTGATCCATAAATTGAAATACTAATTACTTTTTGATTTGGTCCATGACGATCTGATTGAATACTGCATAATGATCGATTCCATTGCGTGAAATTTTCATAAGTATAATTTTGTTTTTTTTGTGAAGGATCCAATGGTTTCATTTTTACTGGAATATAATAGTTAAGATCATTTATTTTCGTATATTGACCTGTTAGAAATGATAAAAAATCAGAAATGAAAGCAGTTTTTAAAAGTCCGATAATAAAAAGGCTTGTTAAACAGAAATATTTTCGTCCGTATCGATGACGACAGTAGCACGTGACCATTTTTATTTGTGCTGCTATTAATTTTCTTTCGCATTTTATCAACGAAAAAAGAATGCAATGATGTGTGACTTTCACCAACGTAAGGCATGTATTTGTTTTATATATATACATACGACTTTAGTTATCTTAATATGCATGAGTGCTTAATACGGCTATATATAATAGGCATTATATAAGGACAAAAATGTATATTTTTTAAACATTACATCTATTACATTACTGGTGGAAATTTTTCGTTACTCGTGTGAGTAGTTTGTTAAAATCAAATACATATTTAAACAGTAAAAGTGACTGTTTAACGTGTTTTTGTTTTGTAGTCTTTCTATTTCACATAATTCAAATTTTCAAGTTTCTGTTATTACCTAGGAACAATATTCAAGGTTGTTGTCTGATAATTGATGAATGTCGATTTATTTTATTGAAAAACGCCTAAATATATTTTTCGTCCATATCAAAAATGAAGCATACGATAAACTAACGTTTTTTCATTAAATTAACACCAAAAAAATGATTATCAACATGAAATTGAATTTCTTTGTCTTGAGATCACTTTAAATATGAATTAGCGAAAAGAAGATAAATGCAGTTTTTTTATTTATTTGATTTTATTTGTCATGATGAAAAATCGGAATTTTCCATTTTATTAAATCGTTTTCAACCAAAAATCAAGACTATTGACTGTTCGGAAGCTGTAATTAAACTAAATAATAATAAATAAACAACTGTATATTTTCTTTTGTCAATTAATATTTGAGCTAAGCTTAAGATATAAAAATTTATTTTCGTATTGATTATTATCATATAGTATAACATAAAACATGAGTAATTCAACTATTTAGTTTATTTTGATATTCAAATCAATTTTATTATTTTTGTCGTTTTAAAATAATTTACAAAATGAAATTGTTTCATAGTGTTATTTTTAGATTCATATTAATAGTAAATTTATTATGATTATTAGGATCATTATTTAACGTGTCGTTTAACTTCAGTTAATAGTCTTATTTTTTGTTTGAAAATTACCTAATACGGTCAAACATTCCCGTTAATTTATTATGAAATATATAAAATCAAATAAATGAAAAACTTCATTTCGATTTTACAGAGCCAATTATTTTAGCAAAAAATCGTATTTCTTTATTGGTTCACTAGAGCTCACATTGGCCTATTGATTATATTTCCAAGTAATCCGTATGAAAGAATTTTCATTTTTGTTTTTGAGATATACGAGATAAAATTAAAGAAAATGGAATTTACAATGCGTGAAAAACATTAAATAGGACTTGAACTAACTAAGCTGTTCTTGTTAGAAATTTATGCATTTTGGAAGCTTGAATTCGCTAATCGTGAAAGACAAAGAATAGATTAGCAAAGTTCAGAAACTCCATACATTCATTTGTTTCTTTTCTGCAATCTTCCGTCAAAACAAATGTTCACTATATTGAAATTATGTTCTTGCATACTGTGAGTGTATTATTCAGTAATAGAAATAGGAAAGAATTCATGTCGGAAAAACATTATACTAATCAATGGTAATTAGAAGTCTTTACATTATCTTTTATACGTGTGAAAGTAAAAATGTTAAATCGTCAGTAGACGATATTTTGTTTTTTTATTTAAAATAAAATTTTTAAAATACGATTAGAAATACAATTAATCCTTTACCTCAAGCAGCAGCTCCAGAAGAGCTACTCATAAAATAGCTTTATAAATAAAATATTAGCTTGTCTAATATGCTAATGATGTGGTCTGATCCACTGAGTATCCATCTCTTTATGTAGAACCGTTTTCTTGATTCAATGACCATGTGATGGAATAGGAGATGGATCGACATACTAAATATTGACTTTTTTATGTTTGAGCAAATTATTGAACCGGAAAAAGTAACATCGATCCCATGTTATTGTAGTAGTAGAAAAAAGGATAGAGTAAACCTATAAAAATTAATCTCAGATGAATACATGTTTTATTGATATATTTTGTTAACTAAGCATTCACTTTACTTTGAGCTATTTTCTTACCTCTGAAGATATTTAATTCATAATACATACTATTTCAATTTCTTATGAGTTAATGCTTATAGTACATATATTAACTTTGTTGTTGATTACTCTTCAGTTGCCCAATAATGACTCCATGGTCAACTGTATGCCTTAACATGCGTAATTTAGCGAGTTATTGTGAAACATTCGAAATATATTTAAATCACTAGTGGGCTCCTTCATCAATTTAAATCACACAAAAATTTCTTAAGATCTGTACTGAGTATAGTTAGAGAAAATTTTGTTTCGTAAAATTCGAATTTTCCGTTTTTTCGAAATTATTGGTCTGATAGGGTCGATATATCAAAGGTGGATCGATGAAAAAAAAACATATTCTTTTTATTAGTTAATAATCCATGAAGTTTACTACTAAGAATGTTCTTATCGTTTTCAAATTCCCTGCTTCCTTTATTTTCTACAGTCATTCTACAAATCGTCAATTCAATGGCCAATCATGAAGACAAGCTCCATGATGAAAATCTTTTCTCTTTATAATGGTTTTAGTTTTTCGTTGGTATATTTTAATAATTCGAATAAATGATAATATAAAATATAATAAGTTCATTTTTCATTGAAAATAAACCAAGACTTTGATAACCAATTCTAAATTATGATAAGCTGACTTTGATTGATAGTCGAATACTATAAGATATCGACTATATTCTCTAAATGATGAAACTGAAAATGAATTGGAAAAATGAATTTTTCTTTTTTTGAAATGTGAAAACTTTATCATGCTAAACGAGATTTCAAACAATCGCTCAGTTTCTCTTCCTATATGTTATTCAAACTATTTTATTTTGATTCAGTATTAAAAAAAAAGAGTATAACAGTATACATCTGAATGTGTTTCATTATTGTTATTTCGTTCAACAAGCTCGACAGAAACTGCCTTGACAGAGGCTGACACCTCGATCTTCAAAACCTAGCTCTTTTTTTATTCGAAGAGCTTTTATCAAATACCGCACATCATTCGCACTGCTAATAGAGAGAAAATAAACTTATAAAGTATCTTTTTGCGAAAAACCTATAACTTTCAATGAGAAAATCGATTATTCCTGTCTATGACTGAATCATACAACGATGGATTTTATTTAGGAATTTTGACTACTATGATTTTATTTATTCACTGAATGTATATGATATTCGGAATCAGCATTAAAAAGTACATCCAATGACACATGTTTTTCTGGAAAATACTTTTCATGATGAGCATATCCGTACTCCTCCAAACGAGAGGGAATGGAAGAGCGGAATCTTGGAATTGTATAGATTCCCCATAGTATCTTCCAAAATTCTTTGGAATTCTGTAGAATCCGAAATTCAAGATTCTCCTGGATTTCATGCAATTTCGTTGGATTCCATAGAATTCCAGCACTCCAGGATTCCGTTCTTTCCGCCTCGACTCTCGCACAGTCCTTTTTTTTCAATAATTTCATTTGTAGTTCCTCGGGGCTCTATTTTGATTAGAAATATTTATCAGAAAACTATGTATCAATACGCTCAATTTTTTATGTTGATTTTGAATATCTTATGTATGTAGTCATTGAATCAAACTATAGTGATCAAAATCGCTGAATGCGAGCCCATTTTTGTATGACTTGGTTATAGAAAAAGAAAGAACCAATCTTCTCATTGAATGTTACATGTTTTCCGCTAAAAATGATTCATAAATTTATTCTCTGTCTATTGGAAGTTCGAATGATGTGTCATATTTGAGAAAAACTCTTTGAACAAAAATAGGTGATAGATTTGAAAGATTCAGGAGTTAACCTGACTGAAGACGATTTCTGACGAGCTTATTGAGTCAAGTAACAGTAATTAAACACACTCAGATATATATATATATACAGTTATACTCCGATTTTGATGCTGAATCAAAATAAAATGGTCTTAATAATGAATATGAGAAGAAGGTAACAAAAAATTCGAGACTTCTTTAAGTTAGTTCTCTTTACTGAATTTGAATATATATTTTGTGTCTTGAAGGTTTTCCAACTAAAACAAGATCCTACTCGGAATCAGTTTTGCGACCCGTGTCAAATCATACAAAATTCAAGGAAATGGATTCTTTTTACTAGAATTTTGAATTTTCACCACTCCTTAACTAATTTTCATTTTCATTTAACTTAATGTTTTCTTGCTTGACGAATAGCAGAATAAAATTCATCGATAAAGGTGAATGATAACAAAGAAACGTAACAGAAAATTTTCTTAGTTGTATTGTTTATAAAAAACAAAAAAAAATGAAATAACTGTTTCCATCAGATGCGATCATAATAAGATAGCACAATTAGTTACTGCTTTCTTTATTATATAACATATTCGTTTGTTATACGAAATAATGAATATCTATCTAGATGAAGATGCGAACAATATCTGGGATTTAAAGTTCATTCAAAGTAATTAGGTTTTTTTTGATAGTCTAATAAAAATCAGGGCACAAATTGTTAATACTTAGCCACTAAATATTAATGTTTTATTTTCATAGACACTCATTCTTCTTATTTCGTTAATACATAAATGGCATGATGTTTTCCTTATAATAAAAAACATCAATTTCCATGAAATATATATTTCTCTAATCTTTATTTGACATCCAATTGATCCAATCTTATTTTGTTTACTGATAAAATTTGAAGAAAAAAATATGATACTAAAACAAAATTTTTAACAATAAATCCAATCTTGATGATCTTTTGGTCGACAAGCTGGTGGACAAGTGTTGTTTGGATTATTAGAATTATGAGAGGTTGTAGTGATGCAACATGGTCTTATACATCCAAGAAAACAATTATCACTTAATGGCCGTTGAGAAAGAAATGGCCGACCACCAAATATATGACAACTATAACTATCAAAACTCAATGAACGTCTTCTAACTTTTCCCCATACATTGTCTGAAAGAAATTGTTGATCACCTGCACCTTTATATTGTTGAGCAATTGATGGTACAAGCA